TCTGACAGCACAGATGTTTGGCCGCTCTCACTATACTCTGGTGCGAGTCATCCGGAGTGAAGATACATATCTCTAGATCTCCTATACTTATCACACGTTTTGTTTTTCCTATAAATCAAACACAAATCACATGAAATATGTGCTCACTTTCAGACTTCATTCAAAGATACTAACCATTCATTGGAGTGTTTGTGAAGCCATTCTTGCGATGCGTTAGCGGCTCCTCTTCTGCGGTCTCTTTATGTCTACCATTTGTCTCAAAACCAATCAAATGTTTCTCCAATTGATTCAACGTTAGGAATGTGTCTGAAGTGACAAAAACATGGATTTTAATTATATGAATGAATAGTAAAACGTTTACTCCAATCATACGATGGGTTACTGTCTATGAAAAACATGTTTTAATAGTAATCATTCAAATGTCATCTCAATTACATCACAAACATGTCATCAAAGCGTTTGCCTTCATTTGGCATCCAAACAGATCCCAAGAGTGATATCAAATACTCGACAATACATACCGTAATGGCTATAGAGTGAGACATATCGGACCCGAAAGCGTTCGCACCATCGGATCAATTGACACAACTTCTTGGACTCGAGCGTCCGTTCGTTGACACAGAGGGCGATATGTTGTGGTATTTTATTCAACGCTCGGACGAGACTGTCGTCGTGGGAGTCGGTGTCCAGCGATCTCTTTGTCTTAAACTTTAAATACAGATATTTATGAATGAATTGCACGCAAGAGATGATGGCGTGAATCAAACACCACAACACGTAATACAAGTGATGCACTCTTAGCACCGGTTTAGACATCATCTCCAGATGGGGTCACCACTCGTGTCCGCGCGTGTGTATGGCCTGAGTGTTGGACCAGTTGTGGTGACCAGTGGTGGGACAAGTGATGTGGTGTCGAAGATGTGGTGAATCTGTGTTTTGAAATGTTGTCACCGATTGTGGAGTGAATGTGTGTTTGTGTGGTGTGTGTGCAGTGTATACACTGTGTGTCGGCTCCTCATTGGTT